CTCAATAGATAAGTCACTGTGTGAGAGAAGATTTGTGTTGTCCTGCTTTTCACTGGATTTGGGGTTTTGTCGTCCCACTGTCATCTCTGAACTGGTCTTAAAGGTGACAAATCTAGAGGTTCTTCAAATGTCATCCTTGAATCAACGCCAATGAAAACGCCTTATTTGGTATTCCCCATAGTTTTAGAAAATTATTACCAATTGCAATCTTTGGAATAGAGTTTCTGCTTTTGTGCAATGAGTAATTGCCCCAGCGGATGAAAACTAATACCTTTTACGTTGCGAATTTGGTGCAGTGGACTCTGCCCCCTTCCCCCTTGCTGTCTCTGTCCCAATTAAGTCCAGGGCAGAAAAGCAGGGGGAACAACCTTCCAGTGCCATCACCTGATCATCTCGTCATTGCTGGTATTCACCCAGTGGCAGGCAGAAGACTTACCACATGGGAAGCCTGAAAAGAGAACACAACTGGGGGCTGCTAGTGGGCTGCTGGGGCTTTGTTGGGGACTTGGGGGGGGTTCCATCAGTGCCTGACAAAGGACCAAGAATTGGAAACGGTAGCTAGCCTTACAGTAGCTTACCCTCAGTCCTCAACTCCACTCCCCACCCCTCAGGTTGCTTCACATCTTGCTGGTTGGGGTGTATGTCAAGGTATTATTATTTTCTATCGTCACAAATGTAAAATCTTTTTTCATGGATAGAATCCCTTCTGTGTAGAAGCAAGCCATTCAGCCCATCAAATCCACACCTACCCTCTGAACAGCATCTCACCCCTCCTATCCCTACGTTTCCCATGGCTAACTCACCTAGCCTACATATCCCTGGCCACCATAGACAATTTAGCATGGCCAATCTGCCTATCTTTGGACTGTGGGAAGAAATCCACATAGACATGGGGAGAACATGCAAACTCCACACAGACAGTCACCTGAGGCTGGAATCAAACTCAGGCCCCTAGTGCTGTGAGGCAGCAGTGCTAACCACTGAGCCACCACACTGACCATCTTCCTTGAGCCAGTGTAAGCGCAGTGGTGCTTGTGGCTGTACCTGTTTCTTTCCCTTTCCATTAAAAATATTCCTTGATGCATTTAAGAATGATAACCTGCCACAAAACCCCCTTCGCAGCTTCTGATTCCAGGCTCTACCTGGCAGCAACGTGAGGCAGAATCATGGTCCGCAACCTTCATTTGATTCAGAGATGTGTTTCTGACTGCATATCTCCACCATTGCTGACACTGTCCATTCCGACCTGTGTAACATCACCCAACCCCACATCTGTCTCAGCTCATCTGTTGAGCACTCTCATCCATGCCTTTGTCACTTCTGGATTTGATTATCTCAATGCTCTCCTGACTGGCCTCCCATCGTCCACCATTCTTAAATGATGTTTCCCACTTCCTAACCCACACCAAGTTGGGGTGGCATGGTAGCTCAGTGGTCAGCATTGCTGCCTCACAGTGCTAAGGACCCAGGTTCAAATCCACCCTTGGGTGGCTGTCTGTGTGGAGATTGCACATTCTCCCTGTGTCTATATGGGTTTCCTCTGGTTTTCTCCCACAGTCCAGAGATGTGTAGGCTGGGTGGGTTAGCCATGGGAAATGTAGGGATACAGGGATAGGGTAGGGGGTGTGTCTGGATGGGATGCTCTTCAGAGAGGCAGTGTGGACTCAACAGGCTGAATGACCTGCTTCCACACTGTAGGGATCTAAGTTCCATTCATCCATCACCCCATTCTCACTGAGTTATATTGGCTTGCTATTAATCACAGCCTCAATTTTAGAATTCTCATTCTTTTCAAATTCTTTAATGGCTGTGCTCCCAGCTGCTCAGACCCTAAGCTCTGGAATTCTTTCCCAACACCTCTCCAAAACTTTTCTTTCTGTGAAGACATTCCTTAAAAGTTATCACTTCAACCATCTGAAAAATATCTCCTTATGTAACTGAGAGTCAGATTTTGTTTGATAACAATCCTGCAGAAAGACTTGGGAGGTTTTACTGCCTTAAAATTTAAATGTATGTTATAGTTTCATTAATCCAAATGAAAATGGTTTTATCACACAAGACTAACATTTTAAATTAATCCACCCCCCTGTGAGTAACCTGACTTTAAATCACTGAGAATGACTTAAAAAGTGCTATAATTAACCATTTAATACTTTTGCTGGTATGAACTAGTCAGTTCCTCAGTAAATTAATAATTTCTGGATGAAAAATCTATTTCAAACTTGCCTGCCCCAACAAATACACTCACTGAAATCCTGCAATTATGATTTGGGAGTGAGTCAGTTTTGCGGATGGGACCTGGTTTAAATGGAAGTGAATTCTGAACCAGTGTAAATGTTTGAAGACAATATAAGTGTAGGTGGTTTGTGATAAAACTCACTTAGGTTTGAAATTCCTAACTTTTTTCTGTTCGAACGGCTGCTTCTGCCTGTGTGGAAATGTATGATTCGGAACCACATGCTGACTGGAAACATTTTGAGCAGAGCCATACAACTCACTTGTATCACGTTAGTACAAGTTGGGAAAGGAAACATACAGTAGAAACTGTATCTGGACGAATAAAACAGCTTTTACTGGCTCTTTATAATGTTTTATCACCAATTTATGTTTTATATAAATATTTAGACTTATGATGGTATCCAGTTCAAACGTTTGTGGTCAGGCATTCTAATATGATTCTATAATCCAGAAAAGCCTCAAATCCAGAAATGATGTGGTCCGAGGCAATCTGGACTAGACAGGTTACTGTTCATCACTCGTGGAAACAAGGAGAAAATCAACCCCTTTATTCCCAATGAGTAAAAATGCCATGGCCTTCTCTCATGTAAAATTCTGTTACTTAACAGAATGTAGGTGCGTCCAGATTGCATGCCTCAAGCAATTTAACATCTTCAAAATTATGCTATTATTAAAAGAAGCGATACAGTATTGATGTATCTAAAAGATTTGTAATTCTGCATATTGAAGATTGTATTTTAGAAAGGAACCCTATATTCCTGCTTTCTCTTCATACCCTGCAATAAAGTTACCATCCAGTACCTTTTGAAACACTACAAAGCATCCACATCCCTGAAAGTGGCACAAGAACATTGCAAAGAGAATTCTGACTCAGGCAGCACTGGGTAAACCAGCTGTCATAAGCAACTCTTGATGTTCAGATCCACTGCAGTCAATGTCTACTCCTTACGTTTCTAGCCCTTACAATAATTGAAGAAATAAGAAAGAACATACTGTTTGTTGAGCCTCTTCCACCATTCAGTACAACCAAGGCTTATCTTGAGCTTCAACTCCACCTTACCACCAGCTCCTCATATCCCTCATTCTCTGACACAGCAAGAATCTGTCTATTTCGGCCATAAATGTATTCAACTATAGAGCATCCAGAACCCTCTGGGATTGGGAATGCTGCAGAGTCACAACTCTTGCAGTGAATTTTCTCCTCATTTCAATCTGAAATGATTGACCCCTTACCCCGAGATGATGTTCTCAGTTTTAGATTATCTAGCGAGGGGAAATAAAATCTTAGTATCTACCCTTTCAAGCTTGTTCATAATCTTGTTTTGCTGAGATCACCTCCTGTTCTTATAAACTCCAGAGAATATGGACCCAGTTCTTTTTCCCAAATTTTAATCAGCTTCTCATCACGGGGTAAAGCTGTCATCCCAGAGACCAATCTAACTGATCTTTGCTGAACTTCCTCCAGTGCAAGTATATCTCTCCTTAAAAAGAGACAAAAACTGCATACAATTCTCCAGGTGTGGTCTCATCAAAGCCCTATACAAATGTAGCAAAGCTCCCTTATTCCTGTACTCCGATCCCTTTGCAATAAAGACTAACATGTCTCTTACTTTCCTAATTGCTTGCTGCATCTGCACTAACTTTTTGTATTCTTTGTACAAGTACACTGATGTTCATGTCTTCTTAAATAAAATTCTGCTTTGCTATTTTCATGACGAAAATGAATCATTGCACACTTCTCCATGTTGTATTCTATCTGCCACCTTGGAGCTTACTCACGTAACCCATCTACATCACTTTGCAGCCTCTTTTGAGTCCTCTTCACAGCTTGCATCACCACCTGGCTTCATATCACCAGCAAACGTGAATATATTTTTCTGTATCTCTTCATTAATAAAGATTTTAAATAGCTTCAATACTGATCCTTGCAGCACTCCATTAGTCATAGTCTGTATGCTTGAAAATGATTCACTTATCTCTACTCTCTGCTCCCCGTCTGCTCATAAAGACACTATTCATGCTGATGTATCAGCCCCAAATTCAGGAGAGCTTGTTTTGACTATTAATCTTTTGTGTAGGCACCTTATCATTTCGAAATCCAAGCATAGAAGATACACCAGTTCCACTTTATCTATCCCTCTCGCTGCATCCTTGGAAAAAAAAACTTTAATATATTTGTCCAACCAGATTTCCCTTTTGTAAAACTTGTGCTAACCGTACTGTGCTTGTCTACGTTAATGGATCAGACTTCTCTAACGGTAGATTTCAGCACTTCCCCGATGAGTGGGGCAAAGCATTTTTCTCTGTTCCCTGCTCTCTCTGAGACAGAAATAACCTGCATTCACCTTGCTGATTAATATTTGGGCAGCTCCATCAAATCAAACAGGCCCTCAGTTGTCCTTTATAACCGAGACCGTCTCCGGCCAGGGGCCCGCACACTGTACTTTCTCTCAGTCGAGCACTTGCTGAGAGAAAGGTTGGTGGGGGGGAGTTGTATACGTTTGACACCTAAACCCCGTTGGCATTTGCATTTTCTTAATTTCTTCCTCTTTGAAGCTGGAATTATGCCTGTCTTTGATCAAGAAGCCTGAATGCTGGGCTGGGGAGCCAGCACTGAGGATAGGGGCATCGATGGGATCAGCAGTGCCCCCGCCACCCTTCCAGCCCCCGCCCCACCACTCCCGGGGGAAGCGACAGGGAGAGGAAAAGGAAAGTCAGCGCCAAGCAGCCGGAGGAGGGAGCGGCGCCTGGGATTCACTCACCTCGTCGCTGTTGGTCTGCAGGGTGCTGTTGTAGGGCTCGGTGCGTTGGTTTATCCGCAGCGCTCTCTTGGCCACCGCCTGCCTGCAGAGGGCCAGCTGATGCCACAGGAGGACAGTCACGATGGCCAGTCTGCTGCCTCTCATCCTCCAAGCAAATCTGCCTCGGAAACAAACTGAGCGTCTTGTTTTTTTTTTGATTGGTGGGGGGAAGGGGGGGGATAAAGAGACACAGTTCAGCAGCGAGTCCTCCTTACACGTGGGTGAAGAGGCGACATCAGATTAATTCTTTTCAGCTCCAAAAAGAAAAGAACACCCCCACAGATGAGGAAGGGGTGTGTGGGGGTGGTCTCAGAGTGGAGGTGAAGTCTCTGGAGGGTCTGGATCACAGCAAGCCCCTTGTGTTCAGTGTCCAGTTGTTTTCACATGGTGAACGGCCGCTGCTGCTCTGGTCAGTCAGTCTCCCGCCAGTAAAAACACTGTCGCTTGCAATGTGTCCTCGCTTTCTGCTGGCTGCCGGCATCCAGTTAACCCATTGGGAGCACGGCCGTCCACTCACACAGCCGCTTTAGTGGCTCTCCCTCACTGCAGCACAGCACAGGCTGGGAGGCTCGTCAACAACTACCCCCCTTCCCCTCACTTTATACAGCTCTGACCCAAAAGAAAAAGTGATGTTGCAAGCCGGGCTGATGTTTAAAATGATAATCCGCCCAAAATGAAACTGACCACTGAGTGTCACGTTTTGGGGAATGACAAGCGCTCTTAAGACGTCAACACCTCCGAGAGGCTGCTGAGCTGTTCCCTCAGATGCCTTTCCTTCTCTTTAAGGAGGCGGCCGGAGAGCAGAGGCCGAATGAACCCGCTCACCACCCCCCAGTCTGCAGCCCAGTTCCATCCATTAATCCATTGTCAGTTCTCCAGGCTAACCGTTAGGCAGAGGTGGGGGGGGGAAAGGGTGAGCGTTTCCCTCCGGAGACTCAGCAGTTTCACAGTTTTTCTCACCACCTTCCCTGGGAGGGGGCTGTTTGGAACGGCGTGTGATTTTCCATCTCTTTTGAATATCAGCGAATTAGCAAATCATCGCCGCGCTCGGGTACTGCGGCGGATAAATATTATGATATTTCCCTCAATGTATTTGCATACAAAGGCGGCTGGCGAAGTATTTCCTCCAAACATCTTGCAAAGTTTTACAATTTTGCGAAGGTTGATCACACCGATTTTATTTGAACCATCAAATAAAGATTCCCCGTGACAAATTATTTTTATATGTAAAATTTCGGTTGCAACAAACATGCACAGTTTAATATATCCAAATGTTGTGATATATGCTTTGAATTGGAACAGGCGATGTTTCAATTCTTAACATTTGTGGGAAATGAATTCATTTTAAATATTTTCTGAAGAAGGATCTAGGCCCGAAACGTCAGCCTTCCTGCTCCTCTGATGCTGCTTGGCCTGCTGTGTTCATCCAGCTCTACACCTTGTTATCTCAGATTCAGTTCCTACTATGTCTCATTTTAAATCTGACGGATTTTTAGTTATGTTAATAGATATCAATTCGTTGAGGCAAATTCCAAGTTTAATCCGAGACTCCAGTGGCTGTGTGTAAAGATGTAGTAAAACTAATTAAAATATTTTTTCAAATTCATTATTACATCAAAAACAAAAATGCATAATTGACGAGTGTTATTTGCTGTCCATTGTGCCAATTGCATTTGTGTTGTAACCGATTAAACACAATTCTTCAAATGCATTAATATTACATCTAAATTCAAAAATGCAGAATGAAAGTGTTAATTGTTGCCCATTGTACCAATTACATTTGACAAACACAAAGACTTTAAGTTCGCTGGAGCTCCCTGTACCTCGCAATGTGGCTGCATTACCATAATGACATCTTGCAAGGTAGTTTTGCAGGCACCAGGATTCAGTGTCCAGGGATTGAGGGGACATAGCCAAGAGTTGTGTTGGAAGTGGAGTGTGCAGAGGAAATGAAACCACGTGCACAATCTGTATGCACCACAAAGTGGACAGTCTCTGTACAAAACCAATTATATGTAGGGTGTAGACAGCTCAGTGTCTATGGTACTTAGAACCCAAGTCTCTAAACATCTAGAATGAGCAACTGAGGAAGGATAATCTGTGGATAAGACAATTAACAACTGGTTGGTCTCCTTCCCAGGTTTCAGCTGCCTCCTTTCTCAGCATCCACAACTCACAACTGCTCCTTCCGGCTGTTTAACTGCGTTTTTTAATCAATTTATTTTTAAAATCAACCTATTCATGGAATACTAGACCAGCAACAATACCACTACATCACAATCTCCAAGGTACAGTCCTTTTGATCGATGAATCTTGTTTGCCCACTAACCCATTGACCTTCAATCCTGCTCTTGGCCGATTTCTTGCAAAATACTTCCTTTAAACCCATCGTTTCCTATTCCATCCGGCCTCCAGCATCCACCCCGCAAACACCTGCCCTTGTGATCAAAATCACAAGAGCTAAGTCGTGAATTGTTCCTCTCCTAACATCACCACCACCACCCCCCCCCCCCCCCCCCCCCTCCAAGGAGCTGCCTGACCGGCTGAGTGTTGTGGCATTTTTAGTTTGGATTTCATATTTCCAACATTCGCAGCGCATAGTTTTGTATCGATTACCTGCACTGTATTGACATTGGTCAAACAATCCTGACATAATGTATTTAAATACGAAGGAGAATGTTTCTGTAGCTTTGATCTTGGAGGATGTTCGGGCAAAGTGCCCCCAGTCTCTGAATAAAGACCTCTTGAAAGCGCCAACGACTAGTTTTATCACCTGTGTAGACTACACCAAAAGGCGCTATGTAAATGTATTGTTATGTTGTCAAGTTCCAAAGGAACAAAAAACGCCTTCACACCGCACACGCCCCCCCCTCCCCCACCCCCACCCCCATAGGATTGGACTCTGGAGGGTGGGAATATTAACTTGGCGGTATCAATGAGAATATTAGCGACGTGCAAGTTTTACAATATTTTAACAACCTGCAAATTATGAACTGTAGAATGGGACATGAGGCATATTCCACCACCCCCCACCCCCGCGAACATTTTAAAGCCGACATTATCCCTGTCAAAGTCAGCGGCAACATTCCAAGAGAGACAACCTGGGAATGTATATTTATTTCTCCTAACCCCTCGAAGAATTTTTACAAGACATTTTGTGAATCTCAGCAGAATCCAGCGCTCCGTTTTACAGGCAGTGATTTGTGTGTGCGTGTGTTGTATGGACGGCAATTCTCCGGAGACTGGCTCACTGCAGCTTATTCATAAAGACAGGTGATACAAAGCACTCTGTAACGATAAACGCTTTAAATTTATTGCTACCGCCCCATCTATATACGGCACATTATTGGCACTCGCCAATTTATTTAGATACTCTCTGCAATGGATGATTAAAAGATTAGGAAAGTAACTTGGGTCTGAAGGATGGTCCCGTCTGTTTATCGATTTAAAACTTAGTTTTATTATTGCGAACGAAGATGACTGCGCTGCTTGTTTGTTGAAAAGACATCCTTTTGGAAACAAATAGGGGACCACGCGGTGGGAAGAGAGAAAGTTTAGCAAGCACTGCCATCTATAGGCTGAAATATAAATACATAAGAAGTGTAGACGGCAATTATTACAGAGCAATTATTACACTATAAATGAAAAAAAGTGTTAACAACCTGTACTGGATATATGTTAATCGAGTATGAAATGCACCAAAGTGGGAAAAAAAAGTGATTGAAACAAAATATGCCATATCCACTGCTTTCCTTTTGCCTTTACATCTGGTGATTTCTTCAAAGGATTCAATTAAAATACTCAAACATGATCGTCACTTTACAAGTCGATGTTGACTGACACCCATTGACGTACGGCTTTGCATTTATTCATTAATATTTTCCTTATTCGGTTGCCAGCAGGTTTTCTATTAAGTTGAGACAAACCTCTCTTTTTCTGAATAACTGTTTAGTGTTCAGCATGCTCCAGTATTTTGGTACAATTGTTACTTCTAAGAATTTATATTGATAAAAGAAGTTAGTAGCTCTGCAATTTCATTATTAACCTTTCTCAATATGTGGGATATGGTCAGCCCTGGAATAATAACTTATTGTCACTAGGAGTGTCGATAATTAGGCCAGCACTGGAGAAGCAGATTACAGAGATATCGTAAGGAAAAATCTCTGCTGCCCCTATACAAAGTAATCCCAAAGCGGGTTGGGTTAAAAACAAGGATTTTATATACTGGGAGTTTCTGTAATCCTAGCTACCAAATCTGCCCAGTGCTTGCAGTCATAAAGGGCAAGTTGAATGACATTTTGGGCCTCATCTGGAGGTCCAGGCAGAGGTCTATGGCCAAGAAGCTCAGATAAGTGGTTGGGATCTCCTTCCCTCTCAGTCCCTTTCCAACACACATTTTTAAAAACTTGAGTTGATTTGATTTATTTTTGTCACATATCTAAGTACAGTGAAAAGTTTTGTTTTGCGTGCAGTATAGGTAGATCATACTATACAAAGTGCATTAGGGTAAAAGAACAGCGAGGAATACAATGTTACAGCTGCAGACAAGGTGCACAAAGAATGAGCTAATATTAAATTTGAAATTTGAGAGGTCCATTCAGAAGAGCGGGGAAGAAGCTTTTCTTGAATCTGTTGGTATGTGTGTTTAAGCTTTTGTATCTTCTGCCCGACGGAAGAGGTTGGAAGTGATGATAACCGTGGTAGGAGGGGTCTTTGATTATGTTTGATTATGTGTCATAGTTTCCAGCCTCTGTGTGGGTGCAGATGCCCACTGTTAGTTTGGAGGCCAGCAGGGAGCATTTAACAGAGGCCACTGCTAGTCACAGTCTCAATTGGTGGAATTACAAGGTCACGTGATTTTTCGGTAAAGATCTTTAAAAGGCAGTAGTTCTTTTGACAGTGCAGTCTACTATCATTGATTCATTTGGGTAATTACATCCAAAAATTTGGATCCATTTTACTGACTGATGTAAATCAGTGCCATCCTACAAGCACTAAAGATGACATAAACACATTTGACAATGAAACAGTTGAGTGTTAAATGTCCAAACATTGAAAATGGCCTTCTGTGTCCTGTTTTGTAGCACTTTTTGAGGAAAAAAACTGAAATAACTCCACAATAGGCCAGTATTCCGTCACCAAGTCACCCTTTATTTACACATGGAGAATCCTTGACACTGAACCAGCTCCCTCGGAGCCAGCTCTCAGACAGAACAGCACCTCTGACACTCCTGTTTTTATCTGTCAGCCAGGGCTCCTTGATTGGGGCTGCTAATCTGGTCCAATCAGGGAACTCATTTTGTAATGTCCACCTGGCTGACCATACATCCCTCCCCCTATGAGTCTGAGGACATAGCCTGGTTCTTTTTTTTTGTAGCTCCTCCTGGGGCATTTTAGCACTGGGTCAGGTTCCTCCAACTGCACTTTTAATATACTGCTCTGTAGCTCACTCTTGCATCCAGAGCTTCTCAGAAGAAATTCATTCTCTCCTTCAGGCGGCAAAGGCATCAAGTTGGCAACATCCACCGTGTCCATCTCAGGTTCAGAGGTATCTTCAACGCTTGACGAAGAGGGAGAACCTATGGGTTCAGGAAGAGACAGAAAGGCTGTTGAGGAGCCAGGCATGCCTCTTACACATGCAGGGCCATTCCCATGGTTCCTACACCAAATGTTGTCCCCTGAAGTAAACTGTCCCTCTTGCTTAGCAGATTGTAGTGCCTGGCATTGGCGTTCCTGGTGCTATTTCAACCTCCCCACTAGAGCCGGGAAGACCTACAATCAAATAGGCGCCAGGTCAGTCTGGTATCTGGTGAAGCTGTAGGCTGCTTCTTTAAGCTGGCCATCAAAGTTTAGACCGCTGTTCCTGCCAGATCATCGGATGATGGATGTTATGGAGCTGTCCTCACATGTTGAATACCGTTTGACTTTAGGAAGTACTCAAATTCCCTGCTGGTAAATGACCTGTGACCAACACATCTGGGAGACCATGTATTACAAAAGATGTGCGCAGCTTTTGTATCATCATCCACATGTTTGACAAATGAACTCTTATGCATATCCAGCCACTTTGAGTGGGCATCCACAATGACTAAGAGAATTGAGCCCATGAAAGACCTGCATAGTCAATGTGTAACCAAGTCCGTCGTTTACCCAGCCATTCCCATGAATGTGGGGGAGCTACTGGTGGTAATTTTTGTCCTTATTGGCACTCTGGGCACTGCCCCGCTAACGCGGCTATGTCTGCATCCAATCCTGGCCACCAGACTTAACTTCTCATCAGCATCTTCATTTTGGAGACCCCTGGATGACCCTGGTGGAGTTCAGCTAGTATCTGGCAGCGACCTTTGCTTGGAAGAATCACTCTTGCGCCCCCCCCAAACAATAATATGCCGTCATCTACTGTGATTTAATCTATGTGGATCCAGAAAGGTTTCAGTTCTGGTTGTGATGGCCTTTTGGTTTCCCATGAAGCCAGCTTTTTTGGTTTTGCCAGGACCAGATCTTTCTGCATCCAGAGTCTGATATTGCCAGCTGTGACTGGAAGTGGGTCTGGAAAATTTAAAACCATTATGGACTCTTCTAGTGCAGCACCACCAGTGGTGTATCTGCTCAATGCATCCACATTTGCCTGGCCGAGATCTTGCACAAACTTACAGGCTGGAGTCCAGAGCAAACTTTGTTAAAGACTGATTCTGCGATCACTGAAAAGGTCATGCCTTTAGTTTGAGGCTTGGCTTAATTTTGGGGTTTTGGTGTGGGTTGACCTAAAGTCCCTCTGTTCAGGATATGTCCTGAGTGAGACTCTGCAATTGCTTTCATTCAAGTTGTGTTCCCCAAGCTCAGTCGGCCTAGTGAGGATGTCCAATTCCATTGGCATACCCTGTAACTCATATACTCCACTTGCCATATTTTCTAATGACAAAGCCAGTTGTAGTGCCTGATTGAAGTTTATTTGGGCTTCAGATAGTGGATGCTTTTGCATGGTTACATCATTAATCCCACATACCAAACGGTGTCTCAGCATTTCATTAAGGGTTAATCCAAAGCGACATGCCTCTGCCAGGCGTCTTTACCTTGTCAAAACTCCTAACAAGGATTCCCCTGGTTCCTGAATTGCCAGCTAAAACCAATAACATCTCAGAATTAGAGGAGGCTTGGGATCGTAATAATAAATCTGCCAACTCCTTAAAGTTTTTAGTATCTGTTGCTTCAGGGAAAGTTAGGATCCTAATAGCTGAGAAAACTGTGGGTCCACAAGCTGTCAGGAGAATTGCTCGTTGTTTTTTATCTGCTCCAATGTCATTTGCTCAGAGAAAGTAACACATTCTTTCCAATTACTGGGCTCAGTCTTTGACAGCAGGGTTGAACAAGTCAAGCTTCCCAAATAATGGCCAGAAATGCCTACCCTAACTCATAGATGACTGTTGCGAGCGAATTTCTTCAGGAGCATGCTTTTCTCTCATCACCACTGAAATAACTCCACAGAGGCCAGTATCCTGTCACCAAGTCACCCTTTATTTACAAGTGGAGAGCCCTTGACACTGATCCAACTCCCTCAGAGCCAGGTCTCGGAGTGAACAGGATGTCTGACACTCCTGTTCTTATCTGTCAGCCACGGTTCCCTGATTGGACCAGATTAACATCCCCAATCTTATTCTATGGGGTTCACTTGGCTGACCTCGTGACAACCACTACAGAAACAGAAGAAACGCTGACCGGGAATTTCCTCAGAGTGCTGTTTGCGCTCTCTTGCCATGATCCTAATGAAGATTTGGCACGGGAACAGCAGCAATTCCCAGGAAATTCCCAGCCCGTGTGTTCTGTAAAGTAGTGGATCAATAGATGGTGGTAGCTCATGATAGCGTCATCATAAACGGTGTCTGCTTTGAGAAGGGTTGTTTCACCAATGGCCCATTCCCTTTTTCCAGAATTCCCCATGTTCTTCAATCTATAAAAAGTGGCTTATCAAATGTTCCTAAAATAGCTGCAGTCTGTTGCCTGTTCTCAAAATTTTGGTTTCTGACTGATGCGGAGGATATTATACGTATTAAGGCCTGGAGCGTCAAAACCAGGAGATAGGCCTTTCCTGTTGAATGGAAAAAAATTAAACAGTTGTCCATCTTGAGCTTCAAGTGACACTGAAGCTGTGCTAAATTTCAAGACACAAGGGTATTCTTTTTCAAATACAATTTGAAATACCCTTTCTTCTAAATAACAGAGTTTGATCGTTCGATACCTCTCAGGAATCAAGCTTTCAATATGAGGGCCAAACTGCTGCATTGCTAACACTCCATTCTTCTCCTTCTTAATCTCATAAAAGGTCAAGTTTGCAAATGTGTAGTAACCAACATAAGGCTTAGAGCGAGGAGGCGGAGAAAGAACTCTTTTGCTTTGTCGAAATGCAGACTCCATTGCAGGTATTAAATAATCATAAACTCTCATAGTCAAGTCCTTCTCTTGAGGCCGAGAACCTGACATCAAAATAACAAATCCTAATTTGAGTTTCGGAATCAGGGAGAATGTGGCTGAGTAACCATCCAAATCGCCCTCTTTTTTAATGATGTCATATCCAAAGAGTTCATCGATTTCCCACGGCGTTCCTGTTTTGCTGGCAAAGTAATCCTCAGAGCACCTGAAGACTGGAGTGAGCATCATTTTTATGGTGTCAGGCTCAAGAAGATCTCGGCGGACAGCTCCCAAAAGCACCATGGCTAGTTTGGCCAGGTCCGCAGTCGTGGAATACATTTGGCCGGAGGGTCTGTACCAACCAAGATCATATAGCTGTGCTGGCTGACCATTGCTGTAAACGCCAACTGCTAGCTTAGAACGGACTGAGTGTGTAAACTCAAATCCAGTGTGCTCCATTCCTAGTTTAGTTAAAATATTCTCAGTAATCCAGCGTTGATACTCTGATCCAGCGACTTGATTGGCTAGAATGTGAGCCAGGAGGGAAAATGCCAAATTACTGTAATGGCATCTGAGAAAAACAGAACAGTAAGTGTCAATCACTTATTACAACACTTCTTATGATTGCTTTTGCACATTTCCTTCCCTAAATAAACACATTAAATAACACCAATATTTTCATTCTTTTTATCTCAAGGCTGAGATAGATTTATAATCTGGAAAGGAATCAAGGGTTATGGGAGAAAGTCAGGAAAATGGAATTGAGGATTATCAGGTCAACCTTGATCTCATTGAATGGCAGTGCAGATTCAGTGGACTGAATCACCTACTTCTGGCCCCATGTCTTATGGCCTTATGCAGCATCTATTTACACTCAATATAGCTTATGTCTGCATACACTTCCTGCCATAAGTTTCAAGTGCCTTTTTTGTCATCCTAGAATTCTAAATTCACATTTAGGATGGGAGTTGCTTGTGTAAATTTGTGGTGGGTAATCTGGCTACTAGATCTCCCCAATTTTCTTAAGTTGTTTCCAACAATATTTATTCATCAGTAATAAATGAATGGGTCTCCAAACCTCTGCTGAAAATACGGCAGAATGGGGCACTTAGCCACTGACTAACTCATGGCTGGAACCAACAAAATGCCAAAGTCAAATAATTTAAATATTTCGAGGTACACAAAGGCACAACAATGGCCCCAAAGAGAGGGGAGTGGGGACAGAAGGTCCAAATGGGATCAAAACAGAGAGAAGCAGAGGAGGGTCAGTGTGGACTTGGTGGGCCAAATGGCCTGTTTCCACACTGTAGGGATTCTGTGATTCTATGTCACTCCTTGTGCTCAAAACACTGATGAAAAATGGTTCTGGCAAGCCTGGGGGAGACAATGGAGCTCATTGTGAACTGCTTCCCTGACACAGAAAATACCTATGGTCTCATTATTATCCTACAGAAGACAGAAGTGTTGTACCCACCATGGCCCTGAGGAAATTAAATCCATCATTGATCATCGTTAACAGCAGCAACCTCAATGCAGCAGAACAGTTGAGGGTTATCTGGGTAGCTTTATCATAACCAATGCTATTGTCAATGAAGACAATCGAATTTCCAAGGCCAACAGCACCTTTGCTGCCTCACAGAACATGTCTGGTGAGTCATTCACTGTGCTTCTGTCCCAAAATTCAAATACACAGAGCAATTGTCATTCTCACTCTCTTTCTGTACAGAAAACAAATGACACTGCTGGGGCACCTCCATCAACACTGTCTCCTTGTGAATGTCAGATGGCAGGACTACATACAAACAATGAAGTGCTCAACAAAGCTAATCTGCCTGACATTGAACACATTCTTCTTTAACCACTGCATTGTCCACATACTGTTCACTCATCACCTTAAAGGGATGACTAACACACTAGCCGTCTCTCATCAGTGATCTGAGTAGCACCTTCACTCAGAAATCTCTCCCAATCTACTTTGTTCTTTTCACTTTGTATCTTCCCCTTGAATTTTGATGTTGATTGCATGTACTGAATTGGGTTTTGGCTCAGTCACATGTATTCCACACTGCCTACGTTCTTGTTTCAGGAATCACCTGATGAAGGAGCAGCGCTTCAAAAGCTTGTGTTTTCAAATAAACCTGTTGGACTATAACCTGGTATCATGTGACTTCTTATCTTGTCCACCCCAGTCCAACACCAGCACCTCCACATTATTTCAGGAGATAATTGCCCGTTTTTCTAGAGTAAAGCTTGGCAAGGCACAGAGAGAAGAGGCTGGGGGTTATAGATCCCTCCTGAGGAAGAGAGCTCTTTACTTCCAGGGAGATGCTTAACCCACACTGTGGCTGCTGGAGGACTGACAAGCTCTGGGTCCTGTACTTGCTGCCTCTTTTACTTGCTCAATGATAAGAACAGAGCCAGAGTTCTTACCAAGCTGATTCTTGGTTATTCATTCTGCTGTGAGAAACATTTTTCTACTTTATCTGGCAATGTTTTTAACCTAAAATCTTGAACATGCAGTGAAGATGCAAGACAGCAAAAATCAGTGAAGCAAAAAGAGATGAACATGAATGGAAAGCACTGGCACTTCACTCAACTTCTGGATACATCACTACACTATCATCCAGTTCATCATTTGTTCTCTCACTGGAAATCATTGACTCTAAGAAAAACACCCAGCGATAAGGAAACATTTTAAGCGGATGCTTTGCACTTACAATGCATTGGGAATAAAGGCAGTGGTGGAATGTCCTTTCAACATAAATGCAATGACAGCTGGACATTTGGTCTTGGGAAATTGTTTGGAGACCATGACAGTGAGTGGCTTTCAAGATATTCCAAGTATGGTCACTCAGAGTTTGTAGGATCTCACTGCAACTGTAAGGCTAAAGAGTCTTTATAACAGCGGGTAATGACCACTGATGAAGTGATCTTCCTTGTTCAATTTACAGAACAGAATGAATTGATACAGCCACTTTAGTGCTCTCAACTGCCTAAGGCTACAGTTGTAATGCTGCAGGAGTGCGGCGCAAATGTGAATGTAGTCCAGCTTGAAAAGAAAGACAGAGCTATGTGCAGAAATACCAATGTTCACAGCCCAAAAAGCTAAGTTAGCTAAGCTAAATCCAATCCCTGAACCTAACTTTGAGAAGTTGGATTTCGACTTATTGATTCAACAGTGAGATAAGACTAGTTAGGAACCCTGCACATCCTGGTAGCATAGCCTAGCACTCATACCCCTACAATTACGTTGTAAAATTTGACCTCCTAAGTAAACAAATGCATTAAATTCTGCTACCAGTTCCTGATCTGCTTCGGTTAATGTTAAGACCTTAAGCTATGGGAGTGATCTCACATCATTGCTCAGGTGCTGCTCTATTACAGTAAGTTGAGTCTTTGCACATTATGTTAAATGGTGGAGTAACTCTCAATCAAATTTAGAAAGTTTCTTCAGACAAATGTACATCTGCTTTCACTCAATTTGTCTCAGATGTCAGTTTGTTGCAACATTAATCCATTAGTGCACCATAACTCCTGCCTGAAATACAACCCCCACTATAAAACCATAACACACCTTCCATCTCACACTCATGGGATATTTGTCTGTCAAGCATAATCACACTGGAGTCTTGCAGATTAGTTATAGCGACAGTAAAATCCCAATCAAGTATATTTTCAGGCAGTTTTCCTACAGTTGCTTTTGATGGAAACCAGATTAAAACTGCACTTGTTATTCCATTGAGATGAGAGATGTATCCTACGGTTTTAATTAAGGCAGGTTGTGCTACTTTCATGAAAGGCTTAATCAACTGTTGGCATTGGTGAAAGAAAAATTGGAATATTTAACGAGAGAAGGGTGGTTTATGAGATTTGTTTCTTAAAAGTAATCAAGAAACAGCCATAAGTATTAATTGGTCATCAATTTTTTTAAAAATTCATTCACGGGATGAGGGTGTTGCTGGCTGTGCCAACATTCATTTCCCATCCATAATTGCCCAGTGCAATTAAGAGTCAACCACATTGCTGTGGGTCTGAAGTCACATGCAGGCCAGACCAGGTAAGGATGGCAGATTCCTTCCCTAAATGACATTAGTGAACTAAATCAGTTTTTCCCAACAATGGATTCATGGTCATCATTAGACTCTTAAGCCTAGAAATTTTAAAATTTAATTCAAATTCCACCATCTGCTATGGCAGGTTCAAACCCAGGTCTCCACAATACTATCTTGGTCTGTGGATTAACAATCCAGTGATAATACCACCAGGCTGATGCTTCCCCTATGCTTCTTTGCAAAATTTAAAATTTTGCATGACGTTTTTGTTAAAAGATGCTATAAAAGCTGAATTCAAACCTTGTACCAGGATCCGCGATGAGTAAATCATCCCGTAGAAGATTCAGTGCCATCTCAGTGTTTCCATTCCAGAGCAGGCTTGTTGATCTGAGTCGCCTAGGTAACCCTGCAAATTATTCCATATAGGATTTAAAGATTTTTGAAACCAAATCCAACAACTTCTTTGGAGCGACCTCAAATGAAATGCCTTCAAAACCTTTAGCTCCCCTAAAGCACGATCAGAACTTCAAAGGATTTGAAAAGATGACAAGTTCAGAAACCAATTACATTACAAAACAAACTTGACCTTTTTAATTTTTTTTTGGTCAGGGGATGTGGGCATCGCTGGCTGGGCCAGCATTTATTGCCCCTCACTAGTTGCCCTTGAGAAGGTGGTGGTGAGCTGCCTTCTTGAACTGCTGCAGTCCAATGCTGTTAGGGAGGATATTCCAGGATTTTATCCCAATGACACTGAAGGAACAGTGATATATTTCCAAGTCAGGATGGTGTGTGGCCTTATATTTTGTCGTGCAATACTATCCAAATCTTTTGAGATACTTAGTTCACTGATTGAGCACAAAGCAAATTTGAACGCGTAGGGTAGCACATTTCTCAGGAAGATAGTCCCTGAACATCACAGAGAATGTGCAGGAGGTGGTGCTCCTATGTTCTTGGGATGTGATCGTTGCCGGCAATGTTAGCATTTATTGTCCATTCCTAATTGTCCTTGAGACGGTAGGAGGAGCCAGCTTCTTGAGCTGCTGCGGTTCGTATGATATAGGCACATCCACAGTCATTGGTTTTGTAAAAATATGGTACAGATAAGTAGCCATTTCAGAGGGTACTGTGATGAAAGGTGTGTGATTTACATGTATATAAATATCGTTTTTACAGCTTGTATTTGAAAGTGAGGTGCTGATTATTTTCATGAAAGGACTCTTTTCAAAGACTAGGTCACACAGTCCTTCTGATACAGGAGCCTAATCCAGTATTTGTGAGAGAGATGGTGACTGAGAACCCCTGGAGTGTTAATGGATTTTTTTTTATATACTGTAACGATTTACAACAGGTTGAACAAACATTGAAAGCAGTTAGCTTGTTTCCAGTTCAAAATAATCATGGATTGATTTTTGATAAACCAGAGATTAAAAGTTTTTGGATGGTCATAATGAGACCCAAATATGGTCAGAAGCAAATGCAGTTTCTCTCCTAGAAGAGAGATTTTCAGATCTGTTAAGCAAATAAAGTTTAGCATGTGCAATCTTTGTGTCATTAAAAACTGATAAATTTTAACTTCTCCAAGTTGTAAGTACCTATGTAAGAGACTTCACAGTTCACAGGTCAAAAACTGAACAGAATCAAAACTGAAAGAACTGCGAATGCTGTATAAATCAGAAACAAACCAAATTGCAGGAAAAGTTCAGCAGGTCTGGCAGCATCTGTGAAGAGAAATCAGAATGAGGAAAGGTCACTGGACCTGAAACATTTACACTGATTTCTCTTCACAGATGCTGCCAGACCTGCTGAACTTTTCCAGCAATTTCTGTTTTTGTTACTGAACAGAATCAATTAAGTAGAATTTAAAGACTTGAATAGAGGGTCAATATCTTTAGCATGGTAATGGATAGTTTTGGGAAACAGATTGAAACTTGGTTTTGGTGTGTGTTTTATAAACTTTCTAACTGTATTTTATATTTTGATAGCTTGGGTTTTACATATCTGATAGAGTCATACAGCACAGAAACGGGCCCTATGGTCCAACTCATCCATGCTGACCAGGTTTCTTAAACTAGTCCCAGTCGCCTGCATTTGGCCCATATCCCTCTAAACTTTTCCTAACTATGTATCTGTCCAAAAGTATTTTGAATATTGTAATTGTATTTGCCTCTACCACTTCCTCTGGCAGCTTGTCGCATATACGCAACATCCTCTGCATGAAAAAGTTGCCCCACAGGTCCCTTTTAAATCTTTCCCCTCTCACTTTAAAATAAACTTCTGTTCTTAAAAGAAATTCACTAGTCTCATGTGATCATGTTCAGTGATTGACCACTGCATTAAGTAAAGTAAAAAAACCTATCAGCTAGATTTCATTCTGAGAGCTAACTTGTGTAGTAATGCTGGCAGCTGGGATCACCACAGCACTTAAGTGTCAAACACATTTCCTTACGTCATTAAATATTAAAAGGCCAACTTTACTTGACTGATTCATTGTCTTGCACTGACTACATCAGCGCTAGAGACGGCCATACACCTTTACTGAAGCCTGTTTTTAATTTGTCAGCTTTTTGAGGTTATGTCAGCTTTGTGAGCTTATCTAAGATTTATCTTGGCAGAGGATGATTCTTTAATTTCATATTTTGCAATACTAATTCTTTCAGATACTTAGTTCACTGAGCAAGAATGGTCCATAGGTAGCACACTTCACAGGATGAGAGGCCCTGAATATCATGGAGAATTTTCAATAAATGTCCCTGGCATGTAAAACTAGATACAAATATGTGTATAAGCTTATAATTGGCTTAGGTGTGCTTGTTCTTTGGCATATTCTATGCTAATTTTATTATTTGATGTAAAATTGCTTCTATTAAAATTTAATGAGACAACATTTAATACGTCAGCAAAATTTTGTTCAACTGACTTTGTAAAATACTTCCCTCACCTGACAGCTGGCTGGCCATTCGTTTCAATGTCACAGATGATAGTTTTGCAGCAGCTTCCCCTCGCTCAAGAAATACCAGGCCATCTGCTTCATATTTACTTTCCAAGTGTTTTGAATTTCCCAGTGGGTTTTTAACTGTGAAGTTTTGGACATATTTTGTTAATGGATCATCCAGAGATGCAATTTTTCCTTCCTGCCAGAGTTTGTACAGCATGATAGCAGGGAAGATCTTGGAAATACTTGCAATCCTGAAACAAAAGGAATTTGTTTTGAGATTTCCAATCGTTTTGTGAGCACAAAGTTTTACACGTTAAGTCAAAACTGCAACAAAAAACTGCGGATGCTGTAAAGCAGAAACAAACACAGAAATTGCTGGAAAAGTTCAGCAGGTCTAGCAGCATCTGTGGAGAGAAATCACTCGACTTGAAATGTTGACTCTGATTTCTCTCCACAGATGCTGTGAGACATGCTGAGCTCCTGCTCTGTTTTTTTTCAAGTTTTACATATCGACTGGTATTATGAAGGAATCCCATCAGAAGTACATATTTTACAATAGTTTGCATAAGAAATACAAAATTTATTTTATCTTTTGATAAGTAGGTAAGAAATTTGCTTCTAATTTGGGCTGTCTCCTATTCAGTCACTGGGGCCTGAACACTCGTGTTATGGTATAGGGCTCATTCACATAACGCTTCAGTCTGTAAAGTTCCTGGTCGAGTAGATCTTCCAGAATCACTTATAGAGTTAGATTCTTAAAAATACTTGACTGAAACTATTAGCTCCATTATAGATCTTCATTCTAGTCATATCATCAAATACCTTCCAGCTCAGAAATTCCTTTACAAGTTGCCATTGGTTTCATTTTAAAATAGTTCTACTGAGGTGAAATGATTGGAGACAGACTGATAACACACCACCTTCTGCAAACATTTCACAGAAAACAATGTAAAAACTTGTCATCAAGTGACAGTCCACTCCTACCATGGACTTGTTCCATTAGACAATCTGCCGAGCACTTTGAGCATCACATTTAAAAGAAGAAAAGAAAATAACTTGCATCTAAACAGTCACTTCTATTACCCATGATGTCCCAAAGCATCTGGTAGTAGATTAAATACTTTTTTAAAGTTCTGGGAAGTGCAGCAGCCAATTAACACACAGCAAATTCTGACAAACAACAATGACAAGACGATCTGTTGTATTTGGTTGTGGAATAAAGTTGGCCAGGAGAATTCCGCTGCTGTTCTTCAAACATGTACATGTCCACTCACTTGAGAAGGCAGACAAAGTCTTGGCTTAATGTTTGATCCAAAGATTAACTCTTCAGCATTGAAATCTCAGTGTGGATTATGTGCTCAAATGGGGCTTAATTTCACAGCTTCTCTCTCAGATGGACATTAAAAAAATGCTGATGCAAAGGTGACCACGGAGTTCCCCTGGTGTCCTGGGCAGCACTAAACACTTAATTGACTTTGTTGAGTTGTACCAGAAAGCTGTGATTGAATATAAATGCAAGTTGTTTCCTTTTGTAACAATCACAACATTTTAAAATCATTGACTACATGTGAAATGTTTTGAGATAATTTTGATAAATATAAGTGTTTTACAGATGCAGTCCTTTATTCCTTTCAAATGAATGCAAAGTACACCAGCCACTCCAAGGTTTTAGTGAGCTGTTTTGATTATAGCTGTAAAATCTAACTAGCACCATACTATAACTTTTTGGAATGATGATGTGATTGAAGCCAACATTTTCAGACTGTTCAACTTCATTCACCAGTAGAAGGAGACAGAATGACACTGCCCTCTGTGGAATAAGGGTTGTGAGTGGCAGTTGGAGCACCTTAAAGAATAGTATTGCACATTGCTGTGTGAGTCAGGGTACATAACAGCCTGAGAATGCACCAGGTGGGGAAAGCAGGTCCTGTCAATGGAGGCCATGGAAAAGAAAAGAGGAAAATGAAAAGAAAGAATGAAAAGCTCTACCATATTCACATTATGGAACACAGACATTAGGCCATTCAGCCCATCGAATCTATGTTTATTCTCAATAGAACAATCCAGTCAATCCCATTCCCCATGTCTGGAAATTGTACTTCCCTCAAGTGCCCATCCAATTTCCTTTTGAAATCATCTCCACTTCCACCACACTCATAGGTAATAGGATCCACATCACCCTTACCCTGCATCTCTTGCCCATAAATCTTAAAACTGTGTCCCTTCATCTTCGTACCAGCAACTAATGGGAGCATCCTTTCTTGACCTCATCTAAACCTGTGATAGTCTTGTACACTTCTCTCAGATTGCTCCTCAACCTCCTTTGTTTCAATGAGAACATTTCTTAACAAATTACTCGCAGGGGGAATCAAATACTAAAAATTGAAATGGAAGGAGATATTGAGTGAGGTTGCTCAGGGATATTTGTTGGGATTTTCTCTCTGGTGTACTGAAATAACCTGGGTGTAATAGATCACTTCACATCAGTAAAATTCAAAGATGACCCCAATCTAGGGTTTATTGTCATCTCAAGAGCTCCTCCAAGTATGAACTTCACTGATCAATTGCAAAGCAAATTCAATACATTTAGACACAGCAAGTGTATGGATTACTTAGGTAAAAATGAACCGCTAGGTGCAAAGTTGCAACAGAAGTAAAGGGAGGACACGTATGATTTAGAGGCAATGACCAAGTATTGCATCCAAGCAAGATGAGGAAAGACAGACAAAGCAGAATACAATGACTTGTTGGGATAATGGCTCTTCAATTTCAAGAAGAGATCGCATAAGGAGGCCAGTAGGAGTCACATTTTAGTCCTAGCCAAAATACCACAAATTATATAGTTAGCAAAATAGAGAAAATAAATCTATACAATAAGATACAATAGGGCCATGGGATAAGAGGGCACAGTTTCAGAATTCTAAAGGCCAGGTTTTGCATTGACATCTGGGATTGCATATATAATGCATTGATATGAGGGATTGTCAGGAAGGATTAGACATAGCAATAAGCTCATGTAAGATGCAGCTTGTGCTGAAATAGGAAGATGGCTGGGTTATTATATTGGAAACCAATGGGTTGAAGGGCCTCCTGCATCTAAACCGATCTGGTGATTTGTGAAATAAAATCTCTTGTAAATAAATGTCGGCTACAGGTAACAGTGACTTAGACAAACAACATGGAATTATTGACAAAATCATTTCCTGTGGGAACTAAGATTGATCTCACAGGCTAGATAGGATTTATAAAGTTACCTGTAAGCAGTATATTCATTTGGTGGAGGTGAAAACTCATCAGATGCATTTTTTTTCCCAAAATTTCCAGTCCACAGCACAGTATCGTTAAATATTACAATGGCTGAAATTGATGGTAGGTTCCTTGCATGTATTTGATGACGTAACAGAAAGTCAACCTATAAAAGACAGTCATTACCTATCTAAGTTCCACTTCTAATCTTCAAAGACAAAGAGAAATATAACTTTCATAAGAATATATAATGAGAAATGTGATAATCCCTGAGTGAATGGGGTAGACAGAACATAAGAACATAAGAACTAGGAGCAGGAGTAGGCCATCTGGCCCCTCGAGCCTGCCCCGCCATTTAATAAGATCATGGCTGATCTTTGAGACTCAGCTCCACTTACCCGCCCACTCACCATAACCCTCAATTCCTTTATTGCTCAAAAATTTATCTAGCCTTGCCTTAAAAACATTCAGCGAGGTAGCTTCAACCACTTCACTGGGCAGGGAATTCCACAGATTCACAACCCTTTGGGAGAAGAAATTCCTCCTGACCTCAGTCCTACATCTGTTTCCCTTTATTTTGAGGCGATGCCCTCTAGTCCTAGTTTCACCTGCTAGCGGAAACAACCTCCCTGCTTCCACCTTATCTATTCCCTTCATAATCTTACATGTTTCTGTAAGATCTCCCCTCATTCTTCTGAATTCCAATGAGTATAATCCCAGTCTACTCAGTCTCTCCTCATAATCTAACACTCTCAACTCTGGAATCAACCGAGTGAATCTCCTCTGCACCCCCTCCAGTGCTAGTATATCATTTCTCAAGTAAGGAGACCAAAACTGCACACAGTACTCCAGGTGTGGCCTCACCAGGACCCTATACAGCTGCAGCATAGCCTCCCTGTTTTTAAACTCCATCCCTCGAGCAATGGCAGACAAAATTCCATTTGCCTTTTTAATCACCTGCTGCACCTGCAATCCCACCTTCAGTGATTCATGCTTGCTTGAGTGAATTAGCAGCTCGTTTGCACACCTCATTTAGTATCATTACCATTGAAATCAAAACTTATTATAAGCAAGATATTCACTAAATTTATCTTTTACTATTTCAAAGACTTATGTCATATCTTCCCTCAGTCTTCTGGCCTCCTGGACACCTTTCTCTGAATGCTTGGTTTCAAGAGATGATTTATGAATTTTCCCCAAACCTTTTTATTTATCAGCCTTTGCCAGTAGAGACATTTTGATGTTAACTCAATTGCAAAGTTCCATTAAACTAACTGAAATCAAGATCCTTTCATATTACACTCATATTTGCTTTTATCTGTGTTATCCAGATTAACATTCACTTGCCATATCTAAGCCTGGTTACATAATAAATCTTGTGTCTTACTTGTAATCCATTCGCATAACTTCATGTCTTTGGCAATATAACAGCAATATTACAGTTCCATATCATTCACAAACAGCCCCACTTTGTGCTCCCTTAAACAGATGAGCCAAGGAAAAACACATTTTGCAGACTTTGTGTAATTTTGTGAGTTTGAATCATATGAAGAATTGGTCTAGATTCTTTGCACCAACAACTAACCTCCTTTACTGGAATCTGGAGTCAATCTGGAATATGCCTATGTAGAGGTTAAATAGGCAGCCAAATATCATTTCAGTCTTTGTAGAGCTTCAAATTAGAGCTAAAATCATTTTGAGCCTTTACCAAAGGTTATACAGCAAAGATTGGGGGTTGAGGAGAACAACCGCCAGCCAAAAATGAAGAGAAAACAAACTTCACATGTAGACATGTTAATAAGTCAATGGTCATGTGTAGTGCAGAACATGGCCTCCTGTTTTGTGGCTGGTAAGATGGTGCTGCTGTAATATATGATCAATGGAGGGAGAATCACTCTCTTTGGAAATACAGGTCAGCCATCTCAAAGGACAGTGGTGAAAATTTACTCTGGCAGTAGGTAATGGCCAGATCTAACTACCTACACAATACACAACTGAACTTGGATGCTAACGTTATGTCATTCATGCACTAGAGCAGCAAATCACTCTGCACTGTAGTTTTCTGCAATCTTTCCCCATTTAAATAATATTCAGCTCTTCTTTTCTTCCTGCCAAAGTGCTTAACTTCACAATTCTCACATTATATTCCATCTGCCAAGTTTTTGCCCAGTCATTTAACCTGTTACCCCTCTGTAGACTCCTTGTGTCATCCTCACCACTTGCCTTCCTGCCTATTTTTGTGTCATCCGCAAACCTGGTGATAGTACGTTCACTTGATTAATCCATGTCATTAATATATATTGTCAATAATTGTGGCCCCAGTACTGATCCTAATGGCACTTCACTAGTTACAGGTTATCGTTGTCAAAATGCCCCCTTGTAGCAACTCTCTGTCTTCTATCAGTTAGCCAATCCTCTGTCCAAGCTAATGGATACTCTCAAGCCTCACTGGTGAATCACTGACCCAAGACCATCCAAAGTGGAGAAGGAGTTTCCGGGAATGCATTGTGCACCTCGAGACTTGCTGTCGTGAAAAAGTGAAAGCCAGGTGAAACAGCATAAGGATCGTGCTGCCACTCCAACGCCCCACCCACCCCATCCCATGACCACCTTCTGCCCCAAGTGTGGCAGGGTCTGTGGAAGCCGCATTGATCTGTACAGCCACCTGCGGACTCAGCCTGAGAGTGGAAGAGAGTCATTCTCGTCTACAAGGGACTGCCAATGATGTTGATCTCTAACACACCGTGAGCTCTTATTAAGTAACTTTACCTGTGGTACCTCATCGAATGCCTTCTAGAAAATATATTCCATGTGATGGCTCCCGTTTATCTTCCCTGCCGGTTACAAATTCAAAGAACTGTAATAAAATTGTCAGGCATGATTCCCTTTCATGAAGCCATGCTAACTCTGCATGGTTATATCATGTGTTTTTAAATGCTCTGCCAATACATCCTTCACAATCGACTCAAACATTTTCCCAATGACGGAGCTGAAGCTAACTGGCCTACAGTTACTTGTTTTTTTGTCTTGCTCCCTTTTTGAATAAGAGTGTCACATTGGCAGTTTTCGAATCCTCTGGCACTTTTCCCAGAATCTAAGGATTTTTGAAAGATTATTACCAGTGCATCCACTATCTCTACAGCTGATTCTAAAATCCTACAATACAAAACTTGAGGTCCATCAGTACACTTTGTAATTTATGGGTTAGCACCAGAATAATCATGACAATGAAAGCTCCTAGATCGCTGTAAAAGCCCAACTGTTTAATTTCCCTTAGCTTTACATTGAATCTTGGTGACCTGAAGGAACTGCAGATGTTGTTAGAAATGTTGCCATGTTGGTGCTGCTCACATTCTTAGAACAAATAAGATTTAAAATAAAAACTTGTTTGCCTAACAGTCTCGCTTGCAGAATAATGTGCTGATTCACGTCATTAGTGCCCATTACACTATCGTAATTCTAATCAGTGTCCATATCAAAGTAATTGACAAAATGATAATTCTCAAAACAATTTCAAATTCAATTTTTTATAATTCTGAAGTTTTGAGTGAAAAAAGAGTAATTCAACTCTTGCAACATTTAAGAAATCGCCATCTAATTAAAACTGCACTTCCAAAGAGTGAAAGTCTGTGTTGATCAGAACTTCATCCCAAATTCTAGGTTTTTGAAATGCTTTTAACAAGAGACTCTCCAATATTTTAGTTACTAACCTTGTTGAGAGCTTCTTTTATAATTGGCATGGGATGTACCAATGGTACAGGTTTGGGATGCCTGGGACACATCTGAACAGATTTAGGCTCTTTAGACAAAGCAAATTCATCTGAAACAAACAGGAAAGTGGCACCAGTGAGGAAGGTTTATTTGGAAGACTCAGATTCCTAGAAAACATTGTTAGCTGAATATGACACCACAATGGTAGAGAAGCAGATGAAGCTGGGGTCAGGAAAAATATCAAATGATTACCTAGGCCTTCCATCTGAGATAATTGCCGGTAGGAAATTGGTACCCAAAATAATACCCAGTTGGTATTGTGCTGGTCAGCAGATGCCCCATCAATAGCACTCTCACTTCTGAGGTAGAAGGTTATGGGGTCACAGACCCATTCCATTGAGTTCAGAACACAAATCCAAGCTGATACTCTATAAGAAAATAAAATATAGGAGCAGAAATAGGCTATTAGGCCTATCAAGTCTGCTCTGTCATTTGATCATGGCTAAAATGAGGGTTTCTCAATCTCATTCTCCTGTTTTCTCCCCGTAGCCCTTGAACCCCTTACTAATCAAGACCTATCTATCTCTGTCTTAAATACACTCAATAACTTAGCCTCCAAAGCCCTCTTCAGCAATGAGTTCCACAGATTAATCACCCTCTGGTTGAAGAAATTCCTCTTCATCTCAGTCCTTTCACTCTGAGGCTGTGCCCTTGGGTTCTAGTCTCTCCTACTGGTGGAAACATTTTCTCCATGTCCATTCTATCCAGGCCTCTGTATTCTGTAAATTTCAATCAGATGCTCCCTTATCCTTCTAAACGCCATTGAGCACAGACCTGGAGACACCACTCCTCACACGACAAACCCTTCATCTCCAGGATCATTCTTGTAAACCTCCTTTGGACCCCCTCTAGAGTCAGCACATCCGTCCTTAGATATGGGGCCTGAAACTACCCACAATATTTCAAATGTTATCTGAGCAGAGCCTTATACAGCTTCAGCAGTACATCTTTGCTCTTGTATTCTAGTTGTTTTGAAATGAATGCTAACGCAACATTTACCTTTCCAACTGCCAACTGAACGTGCATGTTAACCTTAATAGGATCCTGATACAGGACTCCCAAGCTGCTTTGTACTTCAGCTTTCTGAAGCCTTTCCCCATTTAGAAAATAGTCTACGTCTCTATTTTTCCTACCAAAGTGTATAACCTCACACTTTCTCACATTGTATTTGAACTGCCACTTCTTTGCCTACTTTCCTAGCCTGTCCAAGTTCTTCTGTAGCCTCCCCACTTCCTCAACACTACTGGTCCCTCCACCTATCTTTGTGTCACCTACAAACCTAGCAACAATGTCCTCAGTTCCTTCATCCAGATGTATAGCGTGAATAGTTGTGGTCCAACACTGACCTCTGATGAACTCCTCTAGTCACTAGCTGCCATCCTGAAAAAGACCCCTTTTATCCCAACTCTCTGCCTTCTGCCAGTTAGATAATCCTCTTCCATGCCTGTACATTGTCCCTAATATCCTGGTTTTTATCTAATTGGGCAGTCTCCTGTATGGCATCTTGTCAAAGGCATTTTGGAAATCTAAATAGATCATGTCCACCGGTTCTCCTTTGTCTAACTTTCTCATTACCTCCTCTAACAGATTTTTCAGGCATGACATCCCCTTTAAGAAGCTGCACTAACTCCACCCTATTTTACCTTGCACTTCCAAGTACTCTGCAATCTCATCCTTAATAATGGCCTCTAAAGTCTTACAACGGACTGAGGTCAGGCTAATTGGCCTTTCATTTTCTATCTTCTGCCTCCCTCTCTTAAACAGGGAAGTTACATTAGCCATTTTCCAGTCCTCTGGGACCTTCTCTGACTCCAGTGATTCCAAAAAGATCACTACCAAAGCCTCTACAATCTCCTCAGCTACCTCCTTTAGAACTCCAAGGTGTACTCCATCTGGTCCAGGTAATTTATCTACCTTCAGACCTGTCAGCCTCCCCAGCACCTCCTCCTTAGTATCACCAGTATAATTCTGGTGGAATCTCTGCACAGCACCATAAAAGATCCCATAACACTATTTCAAAGAGGAGCAGGAAAGTTGATTGAGGATAAATTCTCCCTGGGGTTCAGGCTAATATTTATCCTCAATCAACTTCATCAGAGCAAAAGTAAACTATTGAACCTGCTCCACCATTCTAGATCATGAATGATCATCTTCCTCAATGTCATATTCCTGTGCTATATTTATGTCGTTAGTAACTAGAAATCTATCAATCTCTCTGTTGGAGACTCCAGTTGACTGCGCTTGCACAGTCCTCAGGTGTAGAGAATTCCAAAAATTCACCACCCTCTGAATGAAGAAATTTGCCCCCATCTTAGTCCTAAATGGTTTGCTTTCTATTTCTGAGGTTGTGTGTCCTGGTTCTGGATTCCACAGCCAGTGGAAACATCCTTGCTACATCTGCTGGATTGTTTTACAAATTGTCTACATTTCTGAAACAGATTAGGTGTTTATTGTTCTTTGTGGGAGCTTGGTTGCCTACATTACAACAACGATCTCATTTCAAAACTGGTTCCTAGGCAGTAAAGTCACCCTGGGGTGTGAAAGGTACTAATATGAAGTCTTTTTGCTTTGTAGCAACACTAATGACAACAACGAACCTCAGTTCCAAGTCATTAAAAAAATTGGTTTCACTCACTCATGTCTTTCTTTGGAAGTTTGTACTGCCACACGAAACAGCAAGTCATGGTGATAGAGACAGCTATAAAGAAAGCCATGCCAAGATATGGCCATTTCAAATCCATAGCGATACCTTTCTTCAACAGTGAAGTGCCCAGCAGTGGACTCCTGCGAAACAAAAGCACAGATTATAAACATGTCCTACTGTGTCCTCAATCATTGATTACTACATTCCTACTATTTCTAAATTCTAAAGGAAATTCTTATCAAATCTGAAAGGGTATTTGCTTTGCAGAACTAATTACTACTGTTGAGTTAAAAAGTTCACAGCAGTTTGTGGTCTCACTGCAAAAACAGAACAACAGCAAAGATTGCCTGACATTACAGAGAAACAGAATCCACAAGGGTCAGTGTGTTATAAGCCATTGACATGCGATGATCCAGTGTATGACAGACAAAGGTTGTCATGTCAGCCTCTATTTAAGTTGGATACCCATTCACATATTTGGTGTATTGCACAACTTCATATCATTCTTCTGCAACTGAAAGGAACATTTCCCACTGCAGTGAATAAAGGGCAATTCTTTCAGGTAGTGGGTTTTAGATATTCGTGATCCTCTGGGTGAAAAAAGTTTTCCTTAAATTCCCTCTAAACCATGCACCCTGATTATTGACCCCTCTACTAAAGGAAACAGTTTCACTTTATCTGTGTCCTTCAGAACTCTATCATATCAATCATATCCACCCCCACCTCAACCTTCTCTGCTCTGAGGAAAATAACCCCAGCCTCTGGTCTCTTTCCATAGCTGAATCACTCAGCCCAGGCAGAATCCTGATGAATGTCTTCAGCACCCTCTTTAATGTAATCACATCTTTCCTATGATGTGGCAATCAGAACTGCACACAGTACTCTAGTTGTGGCCTAACTAATGTTACATACAACTCCATTATAACCTCCTCATTCTTAAATTTAGTGCCTGACCAATAAAGGCAAGTATCCCATATGCCTTCTTAACTATCTTATCAACCCTTCCTGCTACATTCAAGGACCTGTGGGCAGGTACACCAAAATCCCTATGATCGTCAGCACTTTCTAGGGTCTTACCTTTCAATGTGTACTCCATTGCCCTGTTAGTTCTCACAAAATTCATCACCTTACACTTTTCAGGAGCCATATAAAGTGTGAGAAAAAGCAGTGAGCCTGAGGAGTGGGAACAGTTTAGAATTCAGCAATAGAGCATCAAGAGGTTAATTAAGAAGGAAGGAACAGAGTACGATAGTAAATTGCAAGGAACATAAAAGTGGATTGCAAGAGCTTCTATACATATGTAAAAAGGAAGAAAGATTAGTGAAGACAAATGTAGTCTCCCTATAGACTGAAATGGGAGAATTGTTGTAAGCAAACATGGAGTGGCACAGTAATCAAACAAAGACATTAGTTTTGACTTCACAGAAAACACAAATAACTTTCCAAAAATGTTATGGAAGGAAGCGTTTTCTTTGGGGAAAATGTATTGAAGGAGATTAGTACAATTTAAAAAAAATGTGCTGGAGAAACTATGGGGATTAAAATGTGATAAATCCTCAATGTCTGATAATCCACATCCCAAGGAATTAAAAGAGGAAGCTGTGGAAACAATAGATGTATTATTTGTCAACTTCCAAAATTTTGTAGATCCTGGAACAGTTGAAGGCAGACTGAAGTATGGCAAATATAAACAAACTATTTAAGAAAGGAGCAAGGGAGAAAACCAAACTGGTTAGCTTAACATCAGTAGTAGTGAAAATGTAACAATCTATGGTAAAGGATGCGATAACAGGACATTAGGAAAATACCAATGGAATTACACAAAGTCAGCATGGATTTATGACAGGGAAATCATGTTTGACACACATACTGGGGTTTGAAGAGGCTACAACCAGTATAGATGAAGAAGGACAAAGTGGATGTGGTGTATTGGGATTTTCAGAAACTATTTGATGAAGTCCCACATAAGTGTACAAAATCAAAGCACATGGAATTGGTGATAATATATTGGCAAGGAATTGAGAATTGGTTAGCAGACAGGACACAGACAATAGTGATAAATGGGCCTTTCTGAGACTGGAAGGTTGTGACTATCGGGTATTGCACAGAATCATAGAATCCCTACAGTGTGAAAACAGGCCCTTCGGCCCAACAAGTCCACACCAACCCTTGGAGCATCCCACCCAGACCTATCCCCCTATAACCCACCCAATCTCCAGACCCCTGAACACTACGGGCAATTTAGCTTAGCCAATCCACCTAACCTGCACATCTTTGGACTGTGGGAAGAAACCGGAGCACCTGGAGGAAACCCATGCAGACACAGGGAGAATGTGCAAACTCCACACAGACAGTCACCCAAGGGTGGGAATTGAACCTGGGTCCCTGGTGCTGTGAGGCAGCAGTGCTAACCACTGAGCCGCCATGCCACAGGGCCCCAGATATTCACAATAAATATCAATGATTCGAATGAGGGAATCAAATATAATATTTTTAAGTTTTAATTTTTAAGATGATACAAAATTAAACAGGATTGTGAGTGGTGAGGTGGATGTACAGAAACCTCAAGACGACTTAACAAGCTGAGTGAGTGGAAATAAGCCTAACTCTAACTCTGTTGAGGATGATCATAATGAGGATAAGTGTGAAGCTGTCCACTTCAGTAGGAAAAGCTGAACAACAGATTATTATTTAAATGGTAAAAGCAAAATAGTGAGGATGCTGGAAATCTGAAATAAAGACAGAAAATGCTGGAGAAACTCACCAAGTCTGGCAGCATCTGTGGAGAGAGGAACACAATTAGCGTTTTGTGTACAATATGACTTCTTCAGAATGAAAAGGAGTTTGAAAATGGTGGTTTTTAAATGCAGTAAAGGCTCAACAGTCCAATTCCTGGATGGTAAGTTTGTCGTATGAGGAGAGATTGGGTTGACTAGGCATGTGTTCACTGGAGTTTAAAAGAATGTGAGGGATTTTACGTAAACACAAAATTCTCATCAGGATAGACAGACTGAATGCAGGAATGATATCTCCCCTAACCAGGGCAATTCCAGGACAACGGGTTATATTCTCAGGATGTGTGGTCTGTTCTGTGCTGTATGACTGTATGACTCTATGTGTAGTGTGCAATTTCAGTCTGTGCTGAGAAGAAATTTCTTCATTTAGTGAATAGTGAACCTGTGGAATTCTCTACCATAGCAGGCAGCAGAGGCCATGTCAATATATTTAAGAAAGAAATAATTGGATTTCTCAAGTCTAAAAGTGTCAAGGGATATGGGGAGAGGGCAGTGTATGACACTGAGATAGAGGATCAGCCGTGATCATGTTGAATGTCGGAGCAGACTTGAAGGGGTCAAATGGACAGCATGTGTTGCTTTTTTCTATGTTCCCACATTTCTATTACGAGACAGGGTGGCTCAGTGGTTAGTACTGTTGCCTCACAGCACAAAGGACCTGGGTTTGATTCCAGCTGTCAGTGACCGTCTGTGTGGAGTTTGCACGTTCTCCCCCTGTCTGTGTGGGTTTCCTCCTGGTGCTGTGGTTTCCTCCCACAGTCCAAAGATGTGCAGGGTAGGTGGATTGGCTATGCTAAATTGCCCACTGTGTCTAGCAATGTATAGGTGAGGTAGATTAGCCATGGGAAATGCAGGGCTATGGGGATAGGGATCAGTCTGGGTGGGATGCTCTTCAGAGGGTCAGTGTGGACTTGATGGGCCAAATGGCCTGCTTCCATACTGTAGGGATTCTATAATCTGTTTTTGTGATACTGATTGCGGGATTGATATTCCAGGACTCTGCTTCTATTGCCTTTGGAGGAAGAGGGCTCCAAAAATCTCATGTCCCTCTGATGAGAGTTAATTTTTTTCCTTATCCCTATCTTAAATAGGCACTGTCTTACTTTTAAACAGTGACCCCCAGTTCTAGATTCTCCCACAAGTAGTAACATCTTCTCCACATCTATCTTTTCAAGACCTCTCAGGATCTTATATGTTCCAATCAAGTCCTCTTTTACTCTTCTAAACTCCTGTGCGTACAGGCCTAGCCTGTCCAACCTTTCCTCATAAGACAACCCACCCATTCCAGATATCAGTCTAGCAAACTCTTTCTGAACTGCTTCCAATGCATTGACGTCTTTCTTTAAAGAAGATCAATATTGTGCACAGAACTCCAGATATTGTCTCACCATGTCCTGTGTAACTCAAGCATAATCTCCCTAATTCTGTATTCAATTCCCCTCACAATAAAATTCTATTAGCTTTCCTAATTACTGTACCTGCACACTAACCATTAGCCATTCATACATCAGGATTCCCAGATTCCAATGCAGAATATTGAATGCTCTCACCATTTCGATTTTTTTATTCTTCCTGCCAAAATGGACCATTGCATATTTTCCTATATTATACTTAATTTGCCAGATTTGTAACTTGCATTCATCCTTTTCACAACTTACTTTCCTATCCTTGTATCAACAAATTTTGCAACCATAGCTTTGATTTTTTACTCCAAATCATTTACAAATTATGAGTCTCCAGCCCCAATTGAAGTGGCACATCACTCGCTACAACTTACAATCATGAAAAATGCCTACTCTCTTTTACCTGTTAGCCAGCCAATCTTCGATCCATGCCAATGCTATCGCTACACCATGAGCTTTTATTTTTCTTCAAAAAACACAAGTATATATTTTCTGCAATAACTGCAGACTTAAATATCAGAATATTTATCTCTTCACCCCACCCAAAACTATGCAGAGCGCTAGGAGATGCGCAATACCCTTGAAGGAAATTGAAGCTCGTCCAGATAATTGCCCCAGCCATGATAATGTCATGCCATATCTACCTTTGGTCCAAGATGATCTTAGTCTCAACCAGGAACATGGTCAGCTCTTGCTTGAAGGAATTCCAGAAATATACAGGCACCACAAACCTAATAACTTGCACCTGAGATGCACTGATCACTGGGAGTAGATCTACCCTTAACTTCTAACCTAGTTCTGGTCTGAACTGACTTAAAATTATGATCCTTGATCCTTCTTAACCATTTCATTGGAACAAATTGTCTGATTGAACACAATCTTTCTCCCCCTAATCGTCT